GGCCCGGCGCGGGGAAGCTGCGGCCGGCCCCCGCCCTCCGCACCCGCCTCGGCTCCTCCCCCTCGGCCTCCTGCCGCCGCCGCCAGGACACTGGAGTCCGCCTCCCCCACCCGGCCGCTCCGCGCGCTCCTCCCTCCCCGCGCGCCGCCGGGGGAGGCGACACCGCCAGTCACCGCAGCGCCTGTCAAACCGGGCCGGCTATTTATACTCCCCCCGAACCCACCGCCACGGCGCCCTCGGGGCCCCCCGCAGCCCGCCTCCTGCGCCCTGGGATCCCGCCCTCTCCTCCGCGCCCAACTTCGCCCGGAGCCCGCCTGCCCAGGTGGAGCCGCTGGCCGCCCGTCCCGCTCCGCGTCCCCGGGGCCGCCCCCCCCACTCCGCCCCCCACGTCGCGCACTGCGCTGCCCTGCGCTGCGGCCGCGGGACGGGCGCGTGGGGGGGCGGCGGGGCCGCGCGTGCACCTGCAGCCGGGACGCTACGCGCAAGCCCTCGGGCCACTCTTGGGTCCTCGCTTGTCACCCCCTCGTCCCCTCCCAACTCGGGACTCGTCCCCCTTCCCAGATCCTCGAGTGACCGCTCCTCGCGCGCGCGGAACTGAGCGTCCGGGGGAAGTGAGGCTTTGCAAAAATAAATAAATAAATGCATAAATAAAACATAAAAACTCTTATGAGCCCGGGCGTTCAGAGTCCCCCGCGCGTCTCCCCGGGTTCGGCGGACGGGGACGGCTCGGGGCGGGCTGGAGCGCGCGGTCCGCCCCGCCCCGCCCGGCCACTGACGCACGTGGCGCCCCGCCCCGGGGCCCGGGGGCGCCGCCCGCTCCGCCCTCCCAGCTCGTCCACCCCGGACCCCGCCCCGTTCCCAGAAATTACCACAGCCCAACGGCCCGGCTGCTCGGCGGTTGGTGCCCGGGGTGGCCGGCGGGCGGGCGGCGCAGCGCGCGGCGGGGGAGCAGGGGGGGCCGCCCCCGGTGGGGGGGGGGGGGGGTCCCGGGGAGCCGCGACCGCCCTCTCCAAGCCTTTGTCGCTCCTCGCCCCGTCCGCCACCGAGAAGTAACTCAAGTCCCGGGCTCCTCGGGGCCAAGGGTGACGGAGCGCGTGTGAGTGGAGGAAGAGTGTCTTGTTCCAAGTGTCCACAAATGGGGTTGGGGGGGCGGGAGACAGCGGGAGCTGCAGCCTTCTGCACACTTTCACACAAAGGGGAGCCTCCGAGCGGGGCACTCTCACGCGCCTTCCAGGGCACAAAAGCCAATGACACGGTGCCCTGCCTTGTCCTGCCCTGCCTTGTCCTGCGTTTGCAGCGGCTCGCTAATGGCCTTTCGTAGGCGCAGTTCTGCGTGCAAACGCCTGGGTCTCTTCCCCCTCCGCCACCACCATTCCCCGCCGCCGCGGCTTGTATTTGTTTCTTTAACAAAGAACAGCCTCGACTGTCCCGGTGCGCGCGGGGGCTGGTCCTGCTGGGCTCAGACTCCTGCAGACTCCCGGCGGGAGACCCGGCACTCGGAACAGCGTACACCGGGTTAATTTCTGGGCTCCAGCCTGACTGTTTTTGATGTTCTGCAACCAGTTTTTAGGAGAACGAAATACTGAGCGGGTGTGATAGCTGCCGGGATGAACGTGGGAACCGTGGAAATGACCCTAGAATAGGGCTCAAACGTTAGAGACATGGGAGAGGCTTCTGTGTTTTAAGTCCCTGACGAACATTAGTACTTAATCTAATTTTTAAAAGCTGTTCATGCCTAGTTGGAGGTGATTTTTTTTTTTGGCATATTAAAAAGGCAACTTAAAAAAAAAAAACAGACATTTTCGCGTTGAGGTACTGGAAACTTGGATTAGCAAAATAGTTAATCAACGGTGCTGGCAACCCTCTGAAGGAGCAGAAGGCTCGGTAACTTTCAGACCTTAACGGTAAGGTACTGCACACACAGCGTCCTTTCTAGAGGACGATATTTATCTCTTGTTTCTTATAAATTTTTACTTATGAGGGCCACCGCCCGCTTGGACACTTTCTGAGTAAGAACACTGCGCCTCTCTCCTGGCAGCAGCTTGCTGCCCTCAGTTAAATGTTACAATGAGGGACATCCTGTTAGCTAATTAGAGAAGAAACCTTTCCATTTCCCATCCAGAGTAAGCTGGAAAGTCCCAGGCACTGTTACGCGTACGCATGCGCTTTGAAATGTAGATCTGGGCTGGAGAGATGGCTTGGTAGTTAAAGAGTAGGTACTAATGTTGCAAAGGACCTGGGTTTGATTCCCAGCACCCATGTTATGGGTCACAACCATCTGTAAATCCAGTTCCAGGGGATCCAACACCATTTTTTCTGGCCACTGTGGGTATCAGGCACGCACAGAGAAATACATGCAGGCAGAATAGTCATACACATAAATAATAAAACAATGATTTAAGACGTGTAGATCTGTCATAACTCAGAGTTAGAACGTTTCTCCACCCTGTTGATGTTGGAGTCAGATAATTGTATTTGCTTCTGGGCAAAGCAGCGTGGACAGAAGTTACAGCGTAAGGATTCTGAAGGTCCTGGCCTCAAGAGGTATTGCATGTTTGTGCTCGCCTCTGTAGCAGTCCTGCCTTAAATAATTTGAAGAACATGTCTGGGGAGTGTGCTGGTCCAAGAAAGATGACACACACAGAACCGGCCTGGAACTATTCCTAGCCAGGGAATTGTATGTTGTGCAACAGTTTCCTCCAAGATTGAAACATTGCATCCTTAGCTCACACACTTGAGAGGCAGAGGCAGGTGGATCTCTGTGAGTTCCAGGCCCGTTGCTCCACAAAGCAAGTCCAACACAGCCAAAGCTACACAGAAAAACCCTGTCTCGAAAAATAAACATTGCTTCCCGCAGGGAAGCTCCTTAAGTAGGAAAGTAAAACAACTCAAAAGAGCTTCAGAAAGTCCCTGAAACACCAGATTCACTAGGCCCCTTCCCGGAAGAGTCAGCAATAAAAGCAGAGGAGCAAAGCCAAGCTGCAAAGAGAACTCTGACACCAGCCCAGCTGCTTGAAAGAAGCAGAACCAGCTGAGCCACCAGGAAAAGGGTTAGATCAATAGAGGCACCAGGAGGAGGACAGTTTCCAAACCTGTTGAGCTGCCTGCAGGCTGCACAGGGTGCCCCAAGTTCCCAGCTCTCTTGAACTGTCACCACGCCGAGGTAGGCTTTGGTGGTCTTTGTGTCATTTCCACTCCTGTAAGGAACCCCTCACTATACCTCTGTAAGTAATCCCAATAAAACTCATTGGTTTGCAGAAATGTACTTTGGTGATATCTGTACTTTGGTCTGTGTGGGTACCCTAACTGGAGTGAATAGATAGATGTTTGTGTTGAGTCTCCCCAGAAAAAGTTTTGTCACACAGCATTGTAGAATACAATAGTTTGTTTGTTTGAGGGGGTCCTCTTGGTTGTGTGTCTTACAGCCAGGTTTCAAGAAACCCTGTCTCAACAAAAACAAAAACAAAAAACAAAAAAAGTTTGCATAATTGCACTGCTTTCATTTTTTTATATCACAATTCATTTCTTTTTTGTTTTGTTTTTCAAGACAGGGTTTCTCTGTGTAGTCATGGCTGTCCTGGACTCGCTTTGTAGAACAGTTTGGACTCAAATCTCAGTGATCCACCTGCCTCTGCCTCCCTGAGTGCTGGGATTAAAGGCCTGCGCCACCTTGCCCAGCTTTTCTTTTTCTTTTTCTTTTTCTTCTTCTTCTTTTTTTTTTTTTTTTTTTTTATCCAAGACAGGGTTTTTCTGTGTCACCTTGGCTGTCCTGGACTCACTTTGTAGACCAGGCTGGCCTCGAACTCACAGAGATCCAACTGCTTTTTGCCTCCCTGAGTCACAATCATTTTGTTGTTGTTGTTGTTCCTAAATTTTATTTATGAATTAATACAAAACATTCCAGACCAATGTGTCTTAATCCTCGTCCTCCTCCTCCTCTTCATCCTGGTTAGTCTGGAAGTAGCACAATTCGTAACTTTCTTTGCTGTTGGCAACAACACGCAACCAGTCTCGAAGATTGTTCTTCTTCAAATATTTTTTGGTGAGATATTTCAAATACCTTTTAGAAAAAGGCACCTTAGAGGTGACAGTGATCTTGCTCTTGCTCCGTTCGATGCTCACAACCCCTCCGCCAAGATTCCCAGCTTTCCCATTCACCTTGATTCTCTCCTGGAGCAACTGCTCAAAACTGGCAGCGTCCATGATTCCATCTTCTACAGGATGGGTGCAGTCAAGGGTGAACTTCAAAACCTGCTTCTTTTTTTTGCCCCCCTTCGCCACAAGCTTTTTCACTGGCACCATGGCAGCAGAGGAGGCAGAAAGCTTTTTTTTTTTTTTTTTAAGATTTATTTGTTATTTATATAGTATTCTGCCTGCAGTCCAGAAGAAGACACCAGATCTCATTATAGATGGTTAGGAGCCACCATGTGGTTGCTGGGAATTGAACTCAAGGACCTTTGAAAGAGCAGCCAGAGTTCTTAACCCCTGAGCCATCTCTCCAACCCCCACAATTAATTTCTTAAATTATACATGGGATCCATCGATATATTGCCATCGTTTTTCAAGTACTATAAAATAAACATCTTAAGAATCCAAGTCTGGCCAGGCAGTGGTGGTGGCTCATGCCCTCAGTCCCAGCACTTGGTGTTGGTGTACAGGCGAGTCTACTGGCCTGCCCTCAGGGACCCAGCAGTTGCTTACATCATCACCAATCACCACTGCTGGGTGCAACAGTTATATGCGGCCTATAATAGAGCCATCCCCACTCTATTTTTCTTTGTTCCAGCACTCTCTCTCTCTTCTCTCTATGTTTCAAGCACACTCTCTCCCCATTTCTGTCCTTCTCTGCACCCTGCCCCTTTCTACCCTCATGGCCCTCTCTCCATCTTCCCTGTCCACACTCAATATTGGGGTCCCCCCCACAATAAACCTCCTTATACCAGATCTATTGCCTGTCGTTAATTACTCAGGGGCACACCCTGGCATGGGCCCGCCACTGGTACCTCTTGCCACATCATTATATTTCATAACATTTGGGAGGCAGAGGCAGGCAGATGGCTGGCTTTGAGACCAGCCTGGTCTGCAGAGTGAGTGTCAGGACAGCCAGGGCTACACAGAGATATCCTGCCTTGAAGAAGCAAACAAACAAAAAGAATCCAAGTATAAACATACCTTTAATCTCAGCACTCAGCAGTCAGAGGCAGGCAGATCTCTGTGAGTTCAAGACCATCCTGTCTACTCAGAGAACTTAGGTCAGCCAAGGCTACATAAGGAGACCCTGTCTTTAACAAAAAGAAGTCAGGCATGGTGACTTGTAAGTCCAGCACAGGTCAAGACTTAGTCCATCCTCCTGAAGACAAACACCTGAGGTTGGCCTCTGGTTGGCTCAGTGCACACAAACACACACACACACACACACACACACACACAAAGTTAAATCCAGGGCTCTAAGTCCCTCTATACTTAACCTTTCATACTTTCCCAGCCATTGCACACCTCTCCTTTTTCATGGACACCCATAAAAATAATTTAGCTGTATTAGCTGTACCGGTCCTCTGCAAGAGGAAAAGGCTCTTAACTGATGAGCCATCTCTCCAGTCCCAGGTTTTAAATGTTTTACATGCATAGATGAAGGCAAATTGAATATACATGGGATTATATAATGTGTGTTGGTAGAATATTTTTATACATCTTTTCTCTGTGTTTATTTCCCCTGTTCTCTTTAATTACACAGAATGTGTTTTTAAATTTTAGCCTGTCTTCAGTAGGACAAGCTGAGCAAAGGAAGAGCTTTTCCTGCTTGGATATCAGAATGTTAAGTAGAAAAACTCTTTAGGGCTCATTATGGGGGTGGTAGTGACAACTTCCATGAAAACACAAGGGGAAACTGAATCCTCAGAGTTGGCCAATAAACTAGTTCCCTCTACTAACCAGGGTATTTGCTTCTGGGGGATCAGAGTTATTCTTAACGAAATAAAGCTGTATTCTTTATATATATAACCTTTAAAGTCCGTAGTCCAAGAACAAAGTTTAAGCCACACTGACCTAGCCTCAGAACTCACACCACTCCTGACACATTCAGGTAGTGATCTGGCTCAGTGTGGGAGGCCACCACTCAAAAAATATTAGTACCAAGAGCTGAGAGTGGTCAGGGAGCCAGAATCTAAACTTACTCATCTGTATCACTCAGTATCATCCATCTCAGGCTGGCATATTCCTGGTTGTCAATGAGTATACACACTTTATGAGATCAATCAGAAAAATAAATAAATAAATAAATAAATAAATAGATAAATAAATAAATAAATAAATGAACTTTTCTTTGGCCCTTCATTGTGGACGTTTTGGTTTATGATATGTAAACATGTCTTTGTTATAATCCCAAGTAGGGGATTTTAGTTTGTCCACACCTGTTTTCTCCTGCAGAATGTGGTCTGTGCCAGCTGGAAATAGATGAATCCTGAGAACTTTGAGGGATGTAAATAGGATAGCCCAGAGGAAGAAGGTGTTTGGTGGCTGCTTGGAGGAGTCAGAGGAGGGCTGCCTGCTCCTGGCTGCGTTTGCTGGTTGTCAGTTTGCTGGTGACCTGGACTTCCGGATCTCCTGATGATGAATATTGTTATTGATCCCCCCCCCAAAAAAATGAATCCTACAGCCCTACCCAGCAGGAAGAAGGAAAGAGGGCTTATGTCCCCTTTCCCTTACAATGTTGTTTTTCCTCTACCTAGGGTTGGAGGTTGGAAGGGAGGTATATGCTTTAAGGAACCTCCAAATAAAGTAACATTTGAAAAAACTAGCACCTACAGCCCTTCCTTAAGCAAGTGGTTCTGAGTAACCATCCCACTGAACTCTGATGCTGACCTGCCTTGTCTATCAATGGATCAGTATAGCTACCCTCCCCACCCTTCTTCCTAGCCTTCTTCTATAGAGAAAGTAATTCTCACTTCCACTCTGGACCAGAAAAGGAACTCTGTCCCTAAGCTCACTTTTTGGCTTAGGTCAGTGGTTCTCAACCTGTAGATCACAACCCCTTTGTGTACGTCAAACAAAACCTTTCACAGAGGTAGTTTAAGACCATCTGAAAATAGATTTATAATTTTGTTTGTTTGTTTTTCAAGACAGGGTTTCTCTGTGTTGCCTTGGTTGCCTGGATTCACTTTGTAGACCAGGCTGGCCTCAAACTCACAGAGATCCACCTGCCTCTTCCTCCCAGAGTGCTGGGATTACAGGCCACCACACCCGGCTTATATCTTATTTATAACAGTAGCAAAATTACCATGTGAAGTAGCTGTGAAACTAATTATATGGTTGGGGTCATCACAACATGAGGAATTATCTTGCCTTTTTTTTTAATGTGTGAAAGTGTTGCCTGTGTGTATGTCTGTGTACCACCTCCATGCCTGCTGCTCAAGGGGACCAGAAGAATGTATCAGATCCCCTGAGACTGGAGTTACAAACAGTTGCAGGAGGAGCCATCTCTCTGGCCACTTGTCTTTTATGAAGCAGAACCCTTTGAAGGCTGTGCAGTGATCAAGTAAGAAAAGAGCTGCCTTAGAGACTCACAAAACCAAATTGCTTCGGTGAGGACGTGTTAAGTGTGTAGATTACGAGGAAGTGAGAATTGTTTGCTTATATCTGTTTCATGCATACAGATGCCAAGGCATATTTGAAGAGGTCAGAGGACAACTGAGTCAGTTTCTCTCTCTCCTTCCTCGAATGAACTGAGTCATTAGACCTGACAGAAAATGCTTCTATTTGTGAGCCATCCCACTGGCCTCAATGAAGCAATTTTTTGTTAGTTTGTTTCTCAGCTTTGGCCAACCTGGAATTTCCTATGCAAACCAGGCTGGCCTTCTCTAATTCATAGAGCTTCTCCTGCCTCTACCTCCCTAAGAGCTAGGATTAAAGGCATGTCCCACCACACCTGGCTCCCAATGAAGTAATGTTTGAGGATGAAATTCATACTGTCAAATGCACTCAGATAAAATAAGCAGAAAGTATAAAGTTTTGAGCATATTCCAAAGCAGTTAGGTTTTGATTGTGTATCCACATAATGTTGTCTACTAAAAGAGGCTGTTATTTCATAATTTGAGATAGATAGATAGATAGATAGATGATAGATAGATAGATAGATAGATAGATAGATAGATAGATAG